TAATCACCTGATGACTCTACAAATCTGAACAATTTTTGGCTAAGATTAAGGATATTAAACCAACAGCTACAAACTGATAGTATCTATCTGTTTCAGCCTAATTTGTATGCACTGAATTAAACTTGGTAAAGAACACTATATTTCTGTTCATTATCACTGACATAAATCTTCGAAAACATACAGAGTTTCAAAGTTGAATTTTATATGAACTCGTCGACTTATCCTCAAAATTAAATGTGGAAACCAACAGACGGATTATTTTATCATATATGATAGACATTAGAAATCGCAACAGGATTATTGAGGTCATTGCAATAGGAGCTGATCGCGAGCCAGTGAAATCACTCCATTTAGTGTCAACTAAACCAAAAGATGAAATGAGAAAAGACAATAAGCTAAATACCATCTCCAAGTGAACCGCTCAGACTGCGAGAAAAATTAAATCGGATAATACGGCCGCTCTCATTATGTTCGTCCATATGAAGACCAGTTGGTTATCAAACACCACAATACATCTTCATTTATATCGGTGGACGTAAACAACCGTAGATACATCTGTGACTGGAAGGACCATAGTGTCTTGAACAACAACGACACAAATAATATTACTTGACTTCTAGAAGCTTTGTACTTAAGTCACTCGAAATTTAATAAACTCACAGAAATTGGCCCAAATTATCAATCAATTCGAAAAATTATAAATAACTGTAAATCCACAAGTCAAGACAAGGGAGAAAATAATCAAAATAAGTGTGAGAAATGATAGAATGGATATTAGCAAACACTAAACAAACTTAAGGTTGATGAAATAAGCTGCTAGCCACTTGTAAAGAAATCATCGTAAGCTCTTCTTATCTGAAGTTTGGATGAATTTCAAAAAAGATTATTAGAGTTACAGCTATATTTATACGTGGATTAGATTTAATGTACTTGCACATAGATAACATAATTCAACACTAACATTATTTGCCTACTTTCACAGCTTTATGGAAGAGAATTGGTGTATATATGCCTCCAAGTATGACAGTTCATTTCAGTTTGTATGGCTGAGAAGAAATGAAGAAAATTCGTACATTTTTTCCTGCTTATTTCATAAACAACTGACAAAAATATAGTGACGATCTTGATATTTTTAGTTCAGTCGTATATTTATAAATAAAAGGATGAAAAGTACTTCTATTACTACAAATCATAATTGAGAATGTCAAGCATAAAATCTTTTCCCGAGTTTAACTTGGAAATTTATTATTTCCTGGAAAATATAGCAACTAACAAAGTTACGGAGGCCGACTATCATAATTCGCTTCAATATTATCCATATTTCTCGCCTAAAATACACACTGTTATGTTCGTTTGCGTTAGCTCCATTCATTATCTGCTCATTCAATTCACTTTTGTGCATTACTCTATGCTACTTTTTAATATTCAGTAGCCGGTTTTATTCTGATAATTTCTGAGCGTGCGGCAAGACAGTTGCCATTGTTGTGTAACATTCTGAAGTAATTACATCTACTGGTAAGATAAAGTACACCATTCTACTTTATAGTTTCTTTGTGTATAACAAGAACAATATTTACTTTTTAAGCGTGTACAGAAGATATTTAAAATTTACATTTAATCCTGAAGCAATTAATGATTATAAGTTGTTTAAGACATGAATATTTCCCACAAAAATATCCCTAATTATACAGAATGGTTAAATCGCTTCAGACAACTAGTCAGCTTGGACAATGGACTCACACTTAACCCGTCAAAATGTAAACTCTAGTCTGAAACATAAACAGCACTTACACACCCTGTTGGAATCCCATATTGCTTGTACTATTGTAAATTCTTTGATAGTGTTACGAGTTATTTACCTTTGTGTAAGTCTTTCTTCTGATCTATTTTAGTCTTCTCATGTTTTATTGTTATCGAAAAAAGTTTTCAATCCCACCTACTACATAAAGGAGATGCATGCTTTTGTGATTACTCAACATTTACGCTTATAATTTGTCGATTCTTGAATATTACCTTTCATTCCCAGGCTTTTGAGAAAAGACTTTGTTGTATCGCGGAGTACTGAGGGTAGTTAGCAGGGTGTGTAGTGAATCTTTTGGGGTCATTATTAATTTGGTTATGGACAGACATCTAAAGTCTTGCAAACTCCTGGTACTTATTATATTATCAGACAATAACCATCTCCTTTATTCATATCTTCTGGTAGAACGATACGTCAATACATTGGAATCCATGCACGCGAGCATAGGTATCTAGCATATGTACTATGTGACAAACAGGCTGTTAGAGTTGACCTAGTCAATGACATGAATTCTTAAACATGCTTCTAACTAAAAAGGTTGTACAGATCCAAATATTCTTCATAAAATTATTTAATTCCAGGTAGTTTATTTACTTAAATTATGTATATATGTATGCAGTTATCAGTTTCGTTCACCTTTTTGTACAGGAAACTTGTTGAAATGCCTTGTGCTATTAATACTTTGTTGAGTAAAGCCATTAATAATAATGATATAACTTTTCCTGTATATGATATTTTTATTATTTTGAGACGAGATAGATTAGATAAACTCCGTGAACAGTTGGAAATTTATCAAAGAAGTCTAGTTCACTGACAGCAAACAGACATCTTTCAATTGTTTTGTTGAAAGGAGTCGTAACAGTAAGGTACAGACTAGTATTTTCCGGAAATCGACACATTCTAATAGATATCTACATTATCTTCACTGGGTAACTACCTCACATCCGGCATGGTTGAACTCCACTGGTCACAGCTTCTCACTAGAAGTCCGAGAATTACCTCTCGAAGCTAGTCATTAGTGGTTGCTTGATAACGTTTAGTTTGGGGTTGTGAATATAGTTGAATTTTACTGAAGTCATGAGTCAATATATAAATTACATGTCAGCTAGCGTTAATACAAACGGTTATAGTATTTGAGAATTCAGTAGACGGAAATAATCATTATGTAAAGAAGTTGGGACAAATCTTATGATCTCTACACTCAGTACAACTGATTATTCTACAACGTTCATAATAATCTTTCCGTACAGCAAAAATGAATCAGTGGAAATCGGAAATCAAAGTAAACACGACATGAAGTTTTATTTTAGGACTAGTTATACTCTCAAATCCGTTTTAGTGCAAGTAAAATATGGAATGGCTATACAAGAACACAAATAGCTTTAGAAATTAGGCGCAGTGATAATACTGCTATACTCAGGTATTTAATACAAAAACAGAATACAAGTAAGTTCCATACTTAGACTATCCAGATCAGAGGACCGAACTCCAATAAAGATTAGTACATGGTTCCTCAATTCAAATAAGTGAGAGGTGTGGGAATAGAAGTCTCCATGGATGGAAGCCAAGTGACCAAAACAACTCAGCTTAAACTCGTGTCCTGGATTTCCGTCAAGTGATTTGTTTTCTGACTCAATTAAATAAGTCGAGAAAGAGTGAGAAATCTAGGTGCAATCGTGAACCTTTCATTGTCCTTTTGAGAAATATCATCAGGATATACTTCAAACAGATTATTCGTTAATAGGACTCAACTTTAATTGGCACGCAGGCTGCAGTCTGTTGGCTTATAAGAGATAAAGAAGTAATATCTCACACTAGTTTCATCCTATTTTGATGAAGTATTCTCATCTAACACGACCATTTGGGATCGGACCGATCAATTATTAATTAACAAATAGAAAATACTGTCCCTAACTTTCGCCTCTATTTACTACTGTATATACCATCAACACTGTACTCCCGTTTAGTTGTTTAAACTTTTCAACAAATTCTTTTCAGATTCGACAATTATATATCTTAATTAATAAACCGAAAAGTGGCCAGGTTTAGGGCAAAGTCATTCGTCTAGAGTTATAGCATGTGAATTTAGGATTGTTAAACAAAATAAAGTTGTTAATGTTGAAATGACACATGAGTATCTAGTTTTAATTAACAGTATAGCACACAACCTGACAATTTTCAGTCAATAAGTTCAAATCCCCTAATGTACTTTTAGTTTGATGACGAGTAGAACGATTAAATTGACCTTAGTTATTTACTCATTGAAACATTATAACAACAATATATACTACACACATTTGATCACATGACATAAGTTGAATAAATTTCATGTTACGTGACTCATTAATATATGAACATGTTTAGGACAGAACTGTTTATGGCCTTATTTATCAATGAGAATTTTGACTACTTCCTGGCAAAGGTCAACCAACATTACCAGTTAGGTAGACAAAAACAACAAGGAAAGTAGCACGAATCTACATTCGTTTAAGTAGCCAAACCAAATCATCACAAGGAAAAATTAAGAATATCAAAATAGTAGGAACACTAGCAGTAGGAAAGATTAAGTATAGAAAACATGATTCAGGAAGAGACAAATAATTCTGTGAATAAAACAATTTTAATACTTAGGATCTCAGGGAAGACAAGGAATGCATTTTAACTACATCACTCAATATATGTACATACACAGATCCCTTTTAGATACTCTGCTCTTACTAAAATACTTATGATCAATAGCTAATGACTTGGTGTCAAGTGCTGGTTCGGGCGTTCCTAACATTCTTCGTGGTATATTATGTAATATGCATCACAAAAACCTCATTCAAAGAATAGCAGCCTCATGAGCCGGTTTATCACCTTAACCTTGTACCTAATGCCTAGTCTCACTACTGTCCGCTCAGTTGTCGCGATTTACGCGGGAAATGCTTTGATGACACATGATCAAATACGGATAACCTACGAGATTCCTGGGAGGAATGTTAATTAGTCACTGTTAATGACTGAAATGTTTTTAAAAATATAATCATTTCTTTATGTCCTCCATACATTTGATCCGCAACTGTTGCAAAAATTCTCCTCTGAAAACTGGACGATAATTCTCAAGTCCTAATAATTTATTGCAAAAATATAAACAATATTTTCGGTTTAAACGCAATGTCCATTACATGTGTTTACATGGAGTATCATATTTATATAATCAATAGTATATGCAACGTGTCCTATGCATTGGAATTTTGGCATCAATTTCATCAGCATGAGAACGTCGATAATTCCAAAGAAAATTGTCCACCACAATTGAATTGCAACTAATATTTTTACTATTTAAGGACTTGACGATATTCTGAAAGAAGAAAATAGATACAATATTAACTGTGAAATATTCTTCGCAATAATTCTCACTTTCCAGAGACTCCATGGGTTTTCTATTGTATAGTAAAGATACATGTATGAGAAATTCATCAAACAAGTTTAGTGAAAATAAATAAACATGTTATCAAAATAATTTGTCCAACTTTTTCGAACATTCTGGAATACATTCTACTTTATAATAGATATGTACCATGGCAAAAGAATTAGCAACTGAATCTTTTCTGTTAAATCGAATGTCTAAAATACAGCTCGAGAGAAAAAAACTTTGTGACAGAAAACTATTAGGGAATCACCTCTTTTAAAGACCAAGTGATAACAGGGTATTACTAATTCACCAAATACATTTTTATCCACTTGATTTTTACGCTAGTATTACTACCTGATGGATTGTAAATAAGTAGAACGAGGTCTAAACTCATTGAAAGGCCAACTCTTTAGCCACTAAGACAGCATTTATGGAATTCGATATCTAATTTCAAAGGCACCCAATTGACCGAATACAGCTTTCTTAGTCAATGTCAAGCGTGAGAACAGGTTTAGTAAAAACAAGATCTTTCTTTGTTACACTTCCTTATCTGGCTATAATGGGAACAAACAAAAGATCATGCAGTAACATGAAACTACAATCATCTCGTTAAGGAGTAGGTATATAAATTGCAGCCATGAATTGGTGCAAATAAAAATACCATACATACCAACTTTGCAAATTATCGGTCTTATATTACAACGAACAACCAGTAAATTGAAAACCGTTTATCAAGTGTACTGAGATATAAAATGATCACAGAAATATTATATAAATACTAACTCAAAAACTATCTTGCGGCAGAATAATTGACGACTGATATATATCATTTATATGTCCATAAATGCAGTGTGATGTAAACGTGACCAGACATTCGACGTATAAATTGAACTAGACTGAATATAAGTGAATACCGGTAACTAGTAATTCAGTTTAAACATAGAATACCAACCCTATTTCTAAACAGTGCATCATTTTATTTTACAGCTACTTCTCCAAGATTAACAAGTTTAAAAATATGGAAACATCTCCCTAAAACATTGAAATAGCAATTCTAATTTGATAAAACCGGTAGTTACCTTAGGATGATTTCAGAATTTTACCTTAATATTACATACATTGTTTATCAAAAAATTTGGGAATAGCTTACATGCACAGCTAGTATTGTCGCTGCTCGAATTTCAACTTCTAATTCGCTTCCATTTGCAATTTCCTCACCTAGATGAAGAATATATAAGTAGCTCAAACAACTGTTTACTGCGTTTTTTAGGATATTTCAAAATATAAGTTGAAAATTGTACGGTTAAGAGGAAATTAGGATTTAATCCCTCACAGTTGAAGTTCGACGACATCGATGTGACAAAAACAACACACGGAATGCGTTTGCAAATTTTAGTTTAGTTGATGCCAAAAGATATGGGATTTTAATGGGGTCTGATACTAGTCACCAACATTTACTGCTTGATTTCATTTGATGACATGATTTTCCACTGCAATTTCATTGAAGCCATAGAAAATATGTATGAACACACTGACCTTTGTCTAACAAAGAATGACTTCATAAAAGCTTTTACTAATATCTACAAAAGATGTACAATTCTCATTCAACAACGCCTCATAACGTCAAGTTGATCCAGTCGCTATGGGGAGTCTATTAGGTTCAATAGTGGAAGATATATTAATGACCGACTTGGAACAGAAAAGCAAAACGATAATTAACAAGGAATATCTGTATGTCAAGTATGTTAATAATACATTCGTTCACCGCAATCGTTACAAACGTGCTGAATCTTCTTAACCATGTACATTCAAATATGCGATTTACAATGAAGCATGAGCAGGACAACAAGTTTCATTTTCTTAACCTTGATATCCAACGTAGTGAAAATGGTTGAATTCAAAGACTTACTCATATAAAGGACACATTGAATGGACTTTATTTGAATTTTAATAACTTCTGTTCAATAATTTAAAAAGGAACGTTTTTGTTTGTGACAACAATAAAACCACTGTAATTGCTTGATTACCGTTGTCTCAGTAATTTAGTTGGTGAACCGCTTTACAATCGAACACACTGGACTGAAAAATCAAGTATGCAACGTAACGTGTCTAAAAATAAGTACTAAGAATTAAGTCTAAATGCAATAGATTTAAAGCAGATAAAGATAAAAAAACTAATATGAACACGATCCACAATTATATAAAAAATACCATTGCGTATCCTTTTTGTTAAATCCTCACTGTATTCTATAGCACCAAAATAATATAACACTTGTGGAACTCTAAATGATATTTTGTACGTAGGGAAAGGTGGTACCTGTAATCGGCAAACGCAGTAATCTCATCTATATCGTGGAAATACCCCAACCCTTTGCCCTCAAAACAGTACCACAAATCACCAATCAAGATCTGAGCACGTTTTAAGAATGACACTGAAAAGATAAAGGAACGAAAATAAATACCGTGTTTTCCTTTGTATATACTATAGTCGCGGAAAGAAGGGAAATAATCACACAATAACTTTAGAAGCTTTGCCGCAGAATTTTCACACGAGGACAGAGCATTTTTAAATGACCCATCGAAATTCTCAAGTAAAGTTTTCCCAGCACATCTCAGAGCATTTAATCTTTCATCAAATAATGGTATAGGCTCAGCTGTATGTGAACGAAATATATGTCTCAATTGTTCCTCTGTCACAGTTTGATATACTTCAGGATTTAACAAGTTTACCCCTTCCTAAAGACACAAACGATTAAAGTTCCTCGACTTACATCGATAGCTCGGTTAACTGCTGCACAGAGGGCCCAATAGCCCGTATAAATTTTGTTGCAATATAACACTTCAAAACTATCCTGACTCTTACTCCAAAATGAAAAATTGAGTAAGGAAGTCACAAATATCCTAGATGGCCCCAGATATTAATATGGTAAAAAGTACCATTCAATTGATCGTTCATCAGCAACACTAGGGGTTAGTTCCTGATTGATCCAAGACTTCAAATCAAATGGGCAATACTTCTCGCATACCTTAATCACTTGTCATAATACTATTTTAACTTAACCATTCCCACTAAACGTTGAATGTTCTCCATGTTAATGCACACGTGTTCGGCATTTCGTATTACAAACAACGATGAGGAAAGAGGTGCCAAATATTCCATGATACAGATACAGACTGCTAGGCTAAAAAGAGATATTTGAGCGCATCGGTGCATTAATATCATACAAATTAATAAATTGAGGAGTAAAATAACAACACAATTCGACTAGGAAGCAATCTAAGACACTTTAATGATCACAAACGTTTAAGCCTAATTTTTTAGTTGAACAATGACCTTAGCTTAGTACGGACATTTACTCCTCAAGAAGTATTAGTGTTTCCCAAGTGCCACAACAGAAGTTATTGTAAGAGATTAATTACAGATGTATGGTACTTACGAAAATGAGGTCCCATAGTCGCCAATGACAACTATTGAGTCCAGATGGCTTGAGTAATAAAAAACGCGTGTGACGAGATAACTTTAAGTAGATGAACGAATCAAGTACAGTTACAACCAACACTAGATAAAGTGAATATGAAAGAACAAACTCCTAGATTACGACAAATGGTTTGAAAACTATGAGGGGCTTAAGTCTTCACACGTGAATGTGAACGAGACTGTAATTTAAAGACGATCCAATCAGACTTAGCATGAGAGGCCTCACATTTTTCCGCGAAATTCATTCGCGCATTTGACCAAATAAGCATTTGGCATTTTAGCCGATCTAATGACTAAACCTAGCTAGCAGTTGTAAATCATAGCCTCTATCCTTTATGCTGATTTATAACCCTCATTGATCCCTAAAATAGTAGGTGGACACTCTCAATGTCACTTTAGCGTCGCAAAAAGATCGTCCAGAAATTAGTCTCGTCTATACTACTACCTAGCCTTCCAACTTTCAGAAATTTTGATTAACATTTTAAGAACAGTTTGGAAATATGCAACTACAACGCTGAAAACTCTTACAGGTTTGGGATTTTTCTTCAAATTTTCTCAGATCTCAGAACTTCTTAAGACAATATATTTTCAGGTTGCGGAATGCAGCTAGAAATATTTAGCATGTTAAAACAGGTCGGTAAACTTTAGGAGCTCAGTCCAGACATAAATACAGCGAGTCCAGATGTAAGTATCTATAGATATTGTTGATTCGGCTTACAAAACGACGATAAGGTAGATATCACAAATTTTAGTGTATCATTTTTTAATTTAAGCCGTGTAAGTTTTATGTTCTATATGACGTGAAAAATGCATGACGAGTGTGAGCGGTATGAAGTGATATAATATCGTACCTTTATTACGTGTTAGAGTACCTATTCCAATGATGAACGTGATGCAGTTCACTAACAATGTGCATCATACGGAATACTGAGTAAACGGAAGACGAAATAAAAAAAGCATTTCGGCATGACAGAACTTTGTTAACCACAGAAACTATGTATATGGACGAGGAAACCCGATTTTTACGCCATGCTTATCGACACAAATAAGTATATTAAATCCGCGCGTTAACGCGGACACAATTATATCCTTTGTTAGTTTGAGACGAAGACTCTAACTATTCATAAAGATAATCTGCATTTAAGTTTAAAAATCTACCCACCACAATGATATTTTGGTTAAAAACTATTTTTTAACCGTTCAGTTCGCTGTGTGAAGCCTGTTAAAGAGTAACAAGCAAGTTAACATTAGCACTAAAAAGGGAAAAAGAGCCAGTTGAGCTATGTGGAACGATCTGTGTGATTTCTATACATTAATATAGTGCCAAAGTATGACAATACTAAAAGCATTTCAAGACCCACACGAACACACAACTGCGAAAACTCCTTGCAATACGTGAAACCCGCCGTGACTTTTTACTGATCAAGGTCGTTAAAACGAATGTTACAGATAGTAAAACGAATCTCCTGCTGCTACATTTCCTATCGAAGACATCCTGTCGTTTATTATGTAAACCACACTATTGAATAGTATCTCTATTATTTCGTGATATTCATCGTTCGACGGTTTGCCATAAAATTTGTCTCCTATGTTCTAAAACGATTAAAGTGAGAATTTTGAAGCTTCATCAGCCTAATAGTATAAGAAAATGAGTTCTGAAGGCGATTGGAAAGTGCGTCCTCATTTTGTCTGGTTCTCTCTTTCTGCCAAAGATATCACGTACACAATTGTTTAGCAACGTTATTCTTCATGACAGCTTCATAATCGGACGATCACTAACCTAGTCAAACCAGGGGTCAAAAGAGGAGGAATTCGACCACACGTATCTCAAAGGTACCCCACACGTAGTTTCACTAGTTACACGATAGCTAAAAGCACTCGGTTCATCATTTTCATCACATCGTCATTGCTTACTCCGTGCTACGCAACCCTCACGAAAACCACCAATCTTCCATCAAGCACCTCACGATATATCACTCTCAGTTTAAAAAGGACAGGAGTCTAGGTGTCCTGTGTTAGCCCCAGCTGTCGTGATCTTTTAGTTTATCTGACTTTCTTTTGAAGGCGTCCACTGATAGAGCTTCAATTACGTGTTGAGGCAATGAATTCTATGGAAGGTCGACAGTCAGGTGACATGTGATTTGTTCTGCACATGTGAACAATTTTATATTGTTCTTGTAAATCCTCTAATTTGACGGACAATAAACGTGAAGGCATATCAAATACAAATTCATCACTAAGTAATTTAAAAACTGTGATCTGGTTACCTCTGGTTCTTCTACATGTTCTAGATCACCAAGGTGGATGATCTATGTCGAATGATCGGAAGCCACCACCGCATGGGCCAGTTCACGGCATACGATTAACTGATGCGCGTTGTTCGCCCTTGACATTAACAGGAATAGACGATCTGTTCGATATTCAGTGACCAAAATGCCGAATGGTTTGTCTAGGGCTCAGTGACATTTCACTGGCCTTACAAATGTATGCAACTGAGAAACACGTCGGCCAGGATTAAACTTCGTTTTCTTATTATGGTAAACATGAATATGAAAATTGATTAAAAAAGATTGACTGTATAGATTTTAAATTTTCATAGTTGCATAGGGAATTCTTTTGTCCTCTGAGATTAAAATATTTATCAGTATATTCTTTTACATCTCATGTATGTAGCGAATAGTATCTCACACATTAGAGGATTATTATCTTGGATTTATATTTCGTTCTTATTTTTAGATATTAAATTTTAACCAAATAGGTTACATTAACGCGAAAGACTTATATCACCATCAAAGTTGATGAAGATTATCAGAATTATGTGGTATAATTGAGCAATACATTTTGAACAATCTGATCACACATAACAAACTTGTTAAGATACTTTATATGAAAAATATAAGGTCGGCTAGAAATGGTTTAAACATGGACATGGCTAAAGGGTCTACGTATTGATCATGAAGTTTTGAAACTTTCGACGTCTTTCTCACACAGTTTGGACTAGCTTTGAAGTTCTGGGTAACGATGGCTTCTTAGTGAATTGGTGTCTGAACAACGAGTACCACACTGTTATTCACCGTATATGTGTCTGTACCTTGGTGTTCAACATGCATCGTAATGTACTTGGGAGCATTTGTCGGCAACTGCCTAGTTTTGAACAATTCGAATGATTTCACTTTATCATTTTGAGGCTCTAAACTATTACACTGACCTTTTATCACTCTTCTTGTTTTGACATCGTGAGAATATAAAAAATCGGTGATGATAGTATCGTAGAAAGGTCATTTACACACAGGAGTAACAACACTGACCTTAAGACGGTACCATGAGGCATTCTGCTTGACACAGTTTCCTAGATAGTCAACTTTGTGTTAACCCACTCTATTTGATGACGCTTCTTATCCACATAAATAAATTGCCTCCAATCCCGATTTTACTTGACTCATATAACATCTGATTCTGAGTAACTTCGTCAAAAGCCTTGCCGAAGTGAACATTGGCTAGACCCATAGGAAAACTTTGATATTTAACAGACCAACAACTTTCACGGGGCTACTATTAAGTTGGCAATACATAAAGACATGTTCTAAAGCCGTGCTGCCTCTCAGGAATATCCGGTTTCCATAGAGATACTTAAACAATTCCTTCCAAATGATCTTTTCTAAAATATTTACAACCACGCTAGTTAGACTTACGTGAAGCTTTTGCCGTAATTCTGGGTCTCACTGAACAGAAGATTAGCAGTCTATTTTTGCAGTTACTGTATCACTACGCTTGTTCGTCGCTTTACAAATTAATTAAAACCAACTTTCCGAAAGTCAGAGAACGGAGCAGTAAACGAGAAAATCACATTACTTCCTACGAGTAAATTCCACCAACTACGTCTAGTAAAAAAGCGGACGACATAAAAGCCGTATATAACAGTGCATACATGTTTGCTAACACGTGGTTATAGAATATGGTGTTTGTCTGCACAGAACTGCTAGATTTTCCGAGGGGCTACCTGCAGGATTAATTTTTCTTGCTTGTGACACACACCGCTTGATAAAGCAAGAACGCAGTAGATTACCTAAAAGTATAGTACTAACTTCACATAAAATAGGTCCAAAGTACAACTTACTCAGCATACTTGAACAGTTCTAGGAAATGAACAGTACGGCTAGCTCAACATCCAAAACCAGGTACAGCTGAATTGTAAAAATATTAGTTACAAATGTATGGCGGACTACAAAATCAGTTACTTGTCAGACAATAACGATGTTTCTGCAAAGCAAAACTCATGGTTCTATTCTACGCGACAGATCAGTTTAATCCACAGAAAGGTGAATGATCAGATCTGCGAGACAAACAGTAGACAAAGTGTTAATTATAAATAAATAATATATTTGTATTATCCCAATGAGTAGAAAAATTAGATTTTCTGACGTTTCGTGACTTGGTGTGGGCCACTTCTTCAGAGAATAACTAACCAAAATTTAATTTTTCTACTTATTGGGATATTATAAATGTATTATTTATACAGAACAATCTATCCAATGCTCAATTTATTCAAATTATTAAATCGAACCTTGGTAATGTTAGCTACAAAGTGTTAATTGTCGTAAACATTAACTTCTTGTTATATTAATGAGTGTTTCTAACAAACGAGAAGTGCACTTCAATCCAGAAATCTAAGAATTCAGATCAATCAATTCAAGTAAGTGCAATCGAAGATTGATAAATCAGTACGACGGGCAACATCCTAAAAGATCTGGTAAAACAAAATTGCCACTAAAGATACCAAAGGTATTCGGAGTTTGACAACGCCTTTACAGTTAACACCTTTATGATCGAAGGATACCAACCCAGTCAGATCTCAATTCGGAAATGACGGAAGTCCGAAGATGTAGTTGGAAAGCTATCGATTTGTTGAGGAGCGTTTGATCTAAGCTGGCTAGCAGTTGCAATGAATGCGTAGCATGAGAAACCCACTCGTAGTTTGGTACTGATGAGTGACCGAGCGCCTTCAGATAGTTGTGTCCAGTAATACTAATGAGGTAAGCATCAAATTTCATAGACGTACAGAACTATATCTTTTAGTGATTTATTTGCCGCCACACTACCAACCAGAGAACACATAAGTGGGAATAATACGATGGAAGAAACATAACTGCAAACAAATGTCAATATTAAGCTTGTCGTAGGTCAAATATTGAACATGATAGATGAGATAGGATATTTAGTAACGACAGCCAAGAAATTTTCCAAAATAGTCCAACTAGTTGATACTGTCAGTATTCAGATAGTAATATATATATTGCACAAAGAAAACTCTCATAAATGTGCTGAAATCTCTACGTAAAAATCCATCTTAATGCGTTGAGATTTATTCGAGAAATACGGATTTAATAGTTGAATTCATGAGTCAATTAAAGCTATACCACCATGTAAAACCTAGAGGCACTGGATGGCTATTTCATCCTAGTACGGGACTCCTCAGCAGTGCGCACCAACAATCCTGCCCCGCGAGATCCGAACCCAGGACCTATCAGTCTCGCGTGAGGACTCTTAATCACTAGACCACTGAGCCGGCATCCAACTGTGTTAATGTCCAACTTCAATCAGTCCACAAAGTTAAAAACATAATCTGATGAAGATAAAATATTAGTTACATCGAAACCATCAATAACATAATGTTGCTTGGTTTAGCAAAAAGTTTCGTGTTCTGCTAGGCTGTCCCATCAGAACGGGTTAATATCTTATGTAAGTTAAAAACTGTTTAAGTGTTTATGTTGTCGGCTATTCTCAGGTGTTCTATGATGATCCCTTTCATGCTTTCTGTCACCGTAATCGAAGTACCAACTCTGGAAGTATTACGTTTTAAATATCCTGATAGTAGTCAAGACAAATCAGAAGATCAAAATAGTAAATTCACGAAGCAAAAATACGCATATCTTATAACTTTGGACTATTAGCATCTAAATGCTGGTTGTCTTGGGTTAAGAAGATGAAAATGAAGAAAGCTATCTTATGGATGGTATTGACTTACTATGTACTAGTTTTATAGCTGTGAGTCGTGCTTTCAGCCCATCTCCTTTTACATGAATATCAGCTACTTACCAAATACCGTAGGATACATTCGATCATGCTGGGATTCGTAGACAACTATAAATAAGAACTGAAATATTATTCACTCAAAAAAGCTTCAGAATGTTTATAATCAAGTTATTTAGTTAATGGACACATTCACGTAAACTGAATCTATCAGCCAATAAGAAAAATAATAAGCAAATACAAGATAACTGTTCATGTCGTAAGAGAAATGGTCATCAAAAAACATTATAAAACAATGGCAATACAACTAGCGAGGCAAAATAACTGAAATTTAATTTTGAATAAATAGTGTTGATCACCATAGAAAACAATACAACACATCATTTACTTTAAAAGTTTGGACTGATATTTTTTTGACAGTAAACTAAAGCTCCTTCAATCAACCCTTCAGCTCAAAAAGCGCTACACTTTCAAAAATACGTTTATGTGTTCTTTATTGTACTATCTGTCTGGCTTTCTTAAAACACTCTGTTTTCCTCATTAGACACTTGATGGATTACTTCAGTAACTAAGTTGTGGCCATATGAATATCGATTACGGATGATTATGGATTAATTTTATGCTCGAACATGGTTTCCATTAAACTTGATCACTATTATCAATGTAAACAAATGTGTAAAAAATATTGAGTTAAAGACCTGAACTGTTTCTATATTTGCCATCAAATCAAATATTCTGTTCACAATTAGCAGAAATAAAATTAAGTAAAAAGCATAAATTTCTATGAAACTTGTATTTAATTCAGTGGGAAAAAAGATTTTAGTGACAAAGAAAAACAAAAACTGTTTAAGATGGTTAGTTGAAGGTTAAAATCTGCATTTCCATCAGTCGCTTGATAGTGAAAATAAAATGTCAAAATAATCATTTTTTTTCTATTGGTTTGTTTGGTTTGGTACCTATCTTTCTAATCTTTAGTAAGTTTTAATGTTGATAACTAAAAAATAATAAAATATGATTGTTTTTGCTTAAAATTAGATTTGTACTCTGAATAATAAAAAAAGCTATGATAAATAGATAAGAAAGAATATAGAGAAATAAGAAAGGCAAGTCTTTAAACATTACTTAAATGCAATTCTCTTCGAAATGTAATTAACAATAGAAAGAAGATTAAATTGCACAGTAAATACAAGAAAGTAATGAAATACTGAAAATATTGGATCTTCGCATTAAAAAAAACAGAACAAAACAATATCAAGTTAAGCAAACATGATGATAATCATTGTGATAGAATAAGTTAAGCAAATGAAAAGATTGCCATCTTGTTGTTTAGTTTAGTTGTAAATTATAGAATCTATATTTCTTATCTTTATGTAATGGTAGAATAGATCGATTCAATAGAATTAAATGTTATCTAATAAATATGGAATATTTTGATTAAATTCATATTTCACATAAAGCTTCTACTTATTGAATGGAATGAATGATTTTATTGAAAGAACACAGGCAACAAATTTATTAAACAACATCATATTATGTTATTTAGAAAAATAAAAATGGAAAGAAAAATAAATAAAGAAGAATAGAGTGTATATAAATTGTAAGAAAACAAACCTAATTAGAAAATAATTAAGTAGTATATTCTTTAAACGATGTAAAAATGAATACATTAAACTATTGTTTTAAATTTGAAATAAACCCTTTATCAAGAAATCGTTATTAGTGTTCTAATGAACACTAGAATTTAAAAAATATAGCTAATATATATCACTTGTATGTTGCATGTATTTATCATATACATAATTGACAAATGTTTTTATTTTTTGATCATGTAGAATCACTTGTTGTAACTGGATGAATTTGTGGAGTAATTGTATATATTTTCCACTCAGGTAAAGTACTGATGGGCTGTGATGATGTAATGTTCAAATATGGCAGACCTAATATTGGTGTTGGTTGACAACTTGATGAAGGAGATAAAGTTCCCATTGAAATATCATGCAATTGTGGCATTGTGGGATTAGATTCAATTGAAGTTGTTTGCCATGGAATCGGTGTATAAACAGATGGTTGAAAAATAACGGAGCTCAGATACGAACTTTGTATTGACGTATCAATTACTGATGTACTTAACAGTTGTTCATGTGAATATGTGTCTATTTGTTCTTGTGGACATGATATCTGTGTTGTTTTGTTAGAAAACGAGCTTTCACCTGAGTGAATCTCCTTAATTAGGCCACAACTGTGAACTTTTTTATGTCTTGTACGTTCGTCGGATCGAGCGAATTTACGTCCACAAGATTCACATGTATATGGGCGTTCACCAGTATGAGAACGCGTATGTGTTCTTAGATGGTCAGAACGACCAAATGAACGTGGACAGTACTTACACATAAAAGGTTTAGTTCCAGTATGTATTCTATGATGCCGTTTGAGTTCATCTGGGCGAGCAAATCGTTTTCCACATTGTAATTCAGGACAACAATATCGTCGTTTTTCCGAAGATTCCCCAACAGAACTTTTTCTAGTTGAACTGGAAGGTACAGTGGCCGTGGAGGGGGTAAATGTTTTGTACATCAATGTTGATGGTCCTGGTTCAGTAGAAAGAGATGGAGCTGCGCTAAAATCTACCATGTAACTAGTAAACGTTTCAGTACTTAATGGTCTAGATGATTGGCTAATAGAAAAAACATCAAAATAATCTTTGGAGTATGGTGTATTATAATCTTGTTCAGACGGGGCTGATTTTGGATGTGAAATATGGTATATATCTGGCCTTTCAAATATCGGCCCTTCAGGAACTGAATAGTGTCTTAGAAGGGGTTTTTGTGTCGGTGAAATGGTGAACTGTGTATGACTCTGTTCTTGCGAATGTGATTCTTTTTGTGTTTTTATGGGATAAATCTCTGGTTCTATAAAAGGTACAGGCAACTTTATGCCCTTGCTCTCCATAGGTGAGATGGTTTTTGAAGTGAAAGTAGTCGGATCAGTACTCGTGGGTGATTCTTGTTTCAAGAATTCGTACGGACATATTGATGGATGTTCAAGTATTCCGCTTTGATAAGGGAACTTTTCTCTTTCGATATCAAATGATCTCCTTGAATGTTTTCGCGCATAGTTTACAGATGCTGTGTTCACCGAGGTGTACGATGGTGTTAATCTAGATTCCTCTTCAATCTGACTAGTAGTGAAGTGATAAATACTAGGTTCACCATAGCTGGAAGATGGTGGTGTGATACAACCTTGAGTCTTTTCATGTTCATCTATTTTAGAAATATATGGAGTTGGTTTCTGAGAAGATCCTGCAAATGTAACGGTTGATATCTCCATAGTATACGATGGTACTTGCCGTTGACTTTGAGGAAAATATAATATATTCTTAAATTCCTGACCTAGAAAAAATTGTCACAAAAAAACTTAGTCAATTAATAGACTGATAAATAAGAATATTATTCGTCGCTAAATTTCACATATCAACAAAAAAGATGCGTGACTTCATCCTGATGAACATTACACCACTTTTAATTAAGATGACCTAATAAATCATTTTTAGAGAGTTTTAAATTCTAACTCGGTAAACACAAAATACTTACTTCATTAAACGAATATGTCAATGAAGTTAAATTATTCTGTTTTGTTGTTATCATGAACAATACTAATGCATTAAACTGTAGTGTTAGATGCCAAACTAGAGTGAGTCATAGATAACCCAGCTATATGTGCTCATTGCTGTAGTAAATAGAGCATTTTTACTGACTTATGAAGAAAGAGAAATTCAGTATAACAAAGCTTATTTAAAACTTATCTATAGTTGTACTATATGTGTAATGTAATACAGATCTGTTATGAAATTAATTTATAAAAAGTTGGAGACCAGTGTTTGTCAGCATTATGGCATTGTTGGCCAGAATAACATACTTTTTAATGGTTGAGTGAAAATATTTTCTGAATTATTTGTGAAAAAAGACATCAGTATTGTGAAATAGTTAAGTAACAAAGCGGTTTTTTCATGAACAACTACCACTGTAAGGGGATAGTAAAAATTTGGTTATCCTTAGAATCACATTTACAGGACTTCACCATTTTTAAAGAATGCGTCATCACCCTCAAAAATGTTTAAGTCAAATATGTGTTCTGGTACACTTCACCGATAGATAGATAGATAGATAGATAGTAATTTAGAATTTGAGAGGAATAATTTGACAGATGAATATGTATTATGTTCAATTCCAGAATAACTCTTTTCTCCAAAAGTAAACTTAAACAAGAAAGTAAAACGTTTAAAAATATCATTGAATTTCTAGATTTTATTTTATTACTAGTCTATAGCGGAACATAAATGTGTTATTCTGTTATGACGTTATTCTAACCCTATACTATTTAATGTTTTCACTGCATCAATCGATAGAACTATTGCATCATAGTGTAAATTTCACTGTTTAAACAATAGGTTATTTTATTTTCTTCTGGTTAGCGCTTTATAGCGAGGTAGTTTTCTACAGGATGGAGTCAGCGACCGAATCCCCAACCATCCTCTTTTACCCGGGCTTTAGACCGGCAGTAGCCCTAGAGAGGCTCCAGGTGGAACCCCAGCAGCAGGTCTCAACATACACAAACGGAAAAGCAAGATCCTCCCATACAACACATTATTCAACAATCGAATCACACTTGACCAAGAAGATTTGGAAAATATAAAAACCTTTACATATCAGGGCAGTATGATTGATGAACACGGTGGATCTGATGCAGATGTGAAGGCGCGGATCGGCAAAGCAAGAACACCACATCTACATATGAACAATATCTGGAACTCAAAGCAACTGTCAACCAACACCAAGGTCAGAATTTTCAATACAAATGTCAAGACAGGTCTACTGTATGGGGTGAAAACCTGGAGAATTACGAAAGCCATCATCCAGAATATACAAGTGTTTATTAACAGTTATCTACGCAAAATACTTCGGATCCGTTGGCCGGACACTATTAGCAACAACCAACTGTGGGAGCGAGCAAACCAGATCGCAGCAGAGGAGGAAGAAATCAGGAAGAAGAGCTGTAGGTGGATAGGACACATATTGAGGAAAGTACCCAACTGTGTCACAAGACAAGCCCTCACATGGAATCCTCGAAGTCGAAGGAAAAGAGGAATACCAAAGAACACATTACGCCGGGAAATGGAGATAGAAACGAGAAAAATGAACAAGAATTGGATGGAACTAGAAAAGAAGGCCCAGTACATAGTGGGTTGGAGAATGCTGGTCAGAGGCCTATGCTCCATTGTGGGTAACAGGCGTAAGTATTTCATTTTCTATTAAGAACATTATTACGTAGCTGAATTAAATTAATCTGTCTTTTTCTTTAGTATACAATCATCTTATTGAAATCTTATTTTTGCTGATATTTTAAGTTTAACACACTAAGTAAATTTATTGCTCATAGCCTTGTTACTGTTTTAACTGAAATCCGTTGGCGTGTTTATTACAATTAGATATAGTAATCAAATAACAGTAAAAGCAACCAGTTCATTTAAAAGTACTAAATTCACCTATGGTTTTTTAAGTGTTACAGTAGAAATTTTAAAATTACTTCAATTAAATAACTGAATTAGGTTGCATGTTAAAGAAATAAAAGATAATAATGGCAACACTCCCAATTGCCTTCTTTCTTGACAATTATATTCTACCTCTTTATTTACATTTGTCTTAAAATATAAACTAACTGTTTATTATAATAATATAGTTCGTAATCAATTTAATATGAGTCTTGAACATTGAATATATATTCTATTCCAATGACTATTTTGAAAAATCTTAACAAAGTAAAAGCAGAAAGTATTTAAATTAATCTAAATGGTTGAATACTTTATAAAACGATAATAACAACACAGTTCACAAGCACTCATTATGAAATAAAGTAAGATTCCAGTATAGATTTTCTAAATTTATCATCTTTTTGCGAATAATCATAAAACTTCCATATAAGAAAAGCTAAATTTCTATTACTAGTAAGTTAATAATATTCGCTTTTATTTCAATCTATTAATATCATAACTAATTTTAGCCAATTACTTATAAACCTGATGGATTTTAGCTTAAAATTAATCTACTTCTTACTTAGCAAATACTTGAGGTACTGAACGCTAACTTAATGTCTTCGGGTCATAGATCTTGAGCTGTGAGTAATTTCAGTCTATTCATATCATAAGTAATTTTAGCCTTAGCACTAGAATATAAAATTTACTTGTTTATTATCATAGCTATGTGATATTATCATCCCCATCTGTCATTCTGTTTCATTTTACAATTACATCACATTAGAATTCAGTTAAATTATCTTTATCTCAGTGAAAAAGTTTATTTTAAAACTTTTTATTTGTAAATATTTTTTGCTTGAATAAAATTCAGTTTTTTCAATTGTTTGTTCTATCACTATGCATGGACAATTAAAAAACAAAATATTTAATTGATAAAATGAGAAAACCATCATCTGAAAAAAATCTCTTAAAACGTTTGAAATTTTATTAGTTTGATATTTGATCAGTCAATAGTCATAGTAACTCAGTTAATCATTTAATAGAAAAGAGGAAGAGAGTAAAAATAACATGTAATAGAGGTAAATATCAGGGTGATGTAGTGTATGTTACTGATCTCGACAGATATAAGTAGTATGTATCATCAGTTGAAAGTGAAATACCTGGAGGCAGAAGGTAAAAGAAGATCATAAAAAAAAGAAAAAGAACAAAGAATAATTGGTTTGGAATTGAAAGAACAATGAAGTCTGAGACGATTGATCGACATTTTGCAAATGAAGTATTTACTGTATGGTTCTCATATTTTACTATGATGTTCTGTCACTTTGTATTCAAATGCATTTGATTGGTCCCACTTGTGTTATCGTTCATTACACTTATAATGAATATAACTATTACAAAATGTAACAAGTGAAGGTATCAAAAGAGAATGCAAGTCAGATTCAAGTCAATGACTTTTGAAAAGAAAGTGGAAGGATCTTTTATTGACGTTATGGTTCTATGAAGCTCAAGTAGATTTTTGGCGTGCTTTTACGTGTTCGAAACTGAATATACAATATATTATCATTTATATCAACTCGGACATATAAGGACTCTAATTTAACCGGTAAATATTGAAATTCCGAATCACTGAAAATTTAAGAATAGTGTTAAATTACGGGAAGCAAGCTATTCAGGTCAATTGGGAATCAACTGACGCGTCAATCTAAATCAAATCAAACAGTCCACTAAGATAAGGATTTCAACCAAATGCCTCAACGTTAATCTATTAAAATATTCATAGGGTTTAAATAGACACATAAAAACGGTGAAACCTCCTAAGGTAACTAATAAAAAAACAAGTTATCTTTAAAGATTAAGCGGCTCACTTCTATCTTCAGTAAGAACTGTGAACCTACACAAAGAATATAAAAACACTAAAAACATAAAAATATTGAGCATACTCAACAACATATGTTCATCCTCCGACTGATTAGATTCTCACTTATAAAATAAAGATGAACTGAATATTATTGTAGTAGTCTAAGTTTATCCCTTTCAATGATTTTGTAATGCATTCAATACGTTTAGTTTATTTACTTACAAAATCACTGCCAGAGAACGTCAATGTTGGTAAATAAAGGTATTTATTTAAATGTTATTAACTAAATAAAAAGTTATTATTATTAAAATTCAATCTGTACACAAACTTTGATCAAGCTTAAAACAGATACATGTTAATTAATTAATTAATTGAATGAAAATTACACTTGAGTACTTAATTTCTGTAAAAGCTTTCAATTGTCAACAATTGTGTACGGTTTAATTTTTTAACAACCAAAAAAAAAATAACAACATTAAACAAGTTGACAAAGGCTTAAAGTCATGTGATTCACCTACGCATTTAACAAAATGAATAATTATGTATACATACATACGATTATTTGCCCACGCAATAATAATTGTTTCATTTGAAACGTGTTGAAAATGTTGTTTTTCATTAGGTTTTGTTCCTATTTTTTTTGTCCTCATACTCTTTTTTGCTTCAAAGTACATGTAATTTATGACCAGTTGTTGTCTATTATTTATTAATTTTATGAAAACGATTGTTCTATATATTGCTTTATTACTGGGTAACATAAATAAATGTCATTTGGAATCAATTTAGAGAATGATATAAATTTATTCTACAGGAGAGTTTGAACTTTAATGTATCATACTGAGAGAAAATTAATTACCTATCTGTCTGTTATATATATATATATTCAGTGGTGAAGATTTCGGACTTCATATTCACAACTTTAAAAAACCTCAACATAACATGACAAAATTGAAGATTTTATTAAGCCACTGAGATAGATCACATTTCCACTTTCAATCAGT